TGACCAGGGAGAGATTAAGAGATTTAATAATACCCCCCACCTTTTTGTGGGTTGTGATCTTTTCCCACTTCACCCAGCAAATTCTTTTTTTCCCGTATTCTCTGCTCCATATAAATTTTCTTCTTATTTTTTCAAGAATGTCAATGACACCATTAGGAACAACAAAGATGGACATGTAATATATCGGGAGGTTACCAAGCATTGCCTTTGCAAGCGTAATTCTGCCACCGAAGCTCAACGTTTTTGCTTTCCACAGTTACAGTTTTGATTGGAATTTATCAATAATCGGCCTCCATGCGCTTTTTAGATTCATGTTCCCGCCAACTGGGATTCCAAGATAGAGAAATGGTAACGTCGATGGTTTACAACCAAGGGGAGAGGACCAGTTCAGGATTTTCGAGTCGGAGGCTCCGATCCCAAACACTATCGATTTTCTGAAATTCACTTTCAGCCCAGATGACACATAGAAACATCCCAGAATACGTGCCAGATTAGCAATGTTTCTCCTCGACCATTCACTTATAAAGAGAGCGTCATTTGCATAAAATAAGTGAGATAAACAAATGTTAGAGTTCGGGAGTTTTAGCCCATTGAATACCCAGTATCCACTGCCGTCTTCATCGTCGGGTTAAGGCCTTCCATAGCAAGGATGAAGAGGAAGGGAGAGAGAGGGTCTCCCTACCTAATTCCCCTAAACATTGTGAATTCAGAGGTTGGACTTCCGTTGATGATTACCGATGCTCTCCCAGACTCCAAAAAATTCCGAATTCCGATTCCACTTTCTCCATTTCTCCCCAAACTTCATTTGATCCATGGTTGAGTCAAGGAAATCCCAATTCAGAGACTCAAATGCCTTGTAGAAGTCTGCTTTGAAAAGGAGCATCTTTCTTTTTTTATTCTTTGACCAAGAGTGTAGCTCATTGACTATTAATGGACCCTCCAGAATATTGTTGCCTTCAACATAGGCCGATTGCACCTCATCAATAACGCTTCCAATAATTTTTTTTAACCTAATTGCCAACAATTTAGCAATTATTTTGTATAATGAATCAATTAGGCTGATAGGTCGAAAGTCCCCAAAGTGTAACAGATCTTTCGATTTAGCTGCAAGGGAGATGAAAGAGGAATTGCATCCTCTGGATAACTTACCACCAGCTTCAAAGTGCTTTACCAAACCCCAAATGTCACCACATAGTAAGTCCCAATATCTTTTGAAAAATTTAAAGGTGAAGCCATCTGGTCTCGGGGACTTATCACCACCACATGCCTATACTGCGTTTTTTATCTTCTCAAAAGAGAACTCTCCCTCAAGGAATCTTGCATCTGATTCCGAAAGTTTACGAAAATGAGGGTGTATGAAGGAGGGTCTATTTGGTCATTTTTCATAGAATTTCAACTCAAAGAATTTTATAGCTTCATTTTTTATTTCTATCAGTTCAGTTGTCCATGAACCATTAACCATGATTCCATGAATATGATTATTCCTGTTTTTGTTATTGACATATCCGTGAAAAAAACGAGTATTTTCATCTCCTTCCACTTCCCATTTGATTTTCGCCCTTTTTTTCAGATCCATTGATGTCACCCTAGCTTTTTCTAGTATTTTTACCCCCTATTCACCGTTCAACCATTTCCGATTCCGACAACGGTCGTGTTTCTGCTAAAGCCTCTATCTCAACCATTCGTTTTTCAATCTGTCAAATTCTTTACTGCCGTCTCTTACCACATTTATTCTCCAATCCTTTACCATCCTTTTGATTTTTTTTTAATTTATTAAGTAAAAACATGTCTGGAGTACCATATTCCTCGAAACCTTCACATGCTTTCAAGATGATCGCATCAAATTCATCATTCAGCATCCAAGAGTTGAGAAGCGTAAATGGGGGAGGGCCAAATTCATCACAGCGTGCACGTAGAATTATCGAAGAGTGATCAGAGAGCTCTCTATCCAATGCAAAACAAGAAGCTAGTGGGAAGGATACTAAGAATTTGTTATAGACTAGGAAGCGATCCAACTTACTTAGTTTGGAACCTGGTGTTTTGAAGTAAGTAAATCTTTGACCTCCCATATTCAAGTCATTGAGTTCCCCGTTTTGAATGAACATGTTGAAGGAAGATGCGCTCCGATGACAAAATGTGGAATTGATACGTTCATCAGCTCTGCGGACTACGTTAAAGTCTCCCATAAAAATCCACGTGGTGAATCTTGCGCATTTTATTGCCAACAGCTCGTCCCAAAGCTTTGCCTTTTCACTCATCGAATGGGGTCCATATAGGTTCACCAACCCAGTGAGTCCGCTAAAACCAACCAAATTCCTCATTATCACAATATAGTTTCTCGATTTTATTGTCTCAACCGGCGTGAACATCCTCTTATCCCAAATAGTAATCAAGCCACCAGATCTACCTGTAGTATAAACATGCTCAAAATTACAGTCCGAGTCTCCCCAACATTTCGACACATTGAATAGAACAGAGGATTCACCCAACTTAGAGTCTTGGATAGCAATCATACATAATTTATGATCGTACATAAGCTTTCGGACCCAATCGGTTTTACATTTTTCTCCTATACCTCTGACATTTAATGACATAATATTCATTGTGGTAACGGGTTTTCACCTTCTTCTCCAAAGGCTTCCAGTAGAACCGGATTATCTACCTCCACTTGAAATCCCAACGTCTTACCAATCTCTACAATGTTCCTGTAGCATCTGGTTCCTGGTATGTAAATCTTATTTGAGTGTTTTCCATTTTTAGCCTTGGACTCGGCGAGTCATAGGTCCGAATCGCCGAGTAGAGCCGGGACCCGGGACACGTTATAAGTTGGCGACTCGGCGAGTCCATATCCTGGACTCGGCGAGTCACCGCTGTTGGATGAAACCCTAAGTTTCAAGGGTTTGCACCCTATTTAAACTCTCATTCTGCCCCAATCTCGCCCCCATTCACCCTCAGAGCTCTATACCTTGTTCAAGAGTGGTTTCCTTGTGAGTTTGAAGCATTTGGTGTGCTCTCTTGAAGTTTTGGAGTGGGAAAAAGAGTAGATCAAGAAGAAGAAGATGAGGTCAAGCATCCTTGAGCTTTCTCAGTGTGTTCCCTAAGGTATGACTCGATTTTCCCCTTTGCTTTCATGCTTATAGTCCCTTATAGCTCCATTAAGGTCTTTCTTGAACCATTTCCAAGCTTGTGTATGTGTGGGGGTTCGTAATAAGCTGAGTAACCTCTAGATCTAGGCATGGTTGAACTCCAGGAGCTCAGATCTACTGCCTTTATGGACCCATGTTGCATGAAAACCTTAGATCTACTCTTTTGGTGCATTTTGAACCCTAAAACCCTCATAGATGGATATTTACACGTAAAGTTGGAAACTTTACGTGTTATTCATGCTCTAGGAGCCCAGATCTACGAATGACATGGACTGGATTCGAGCAAAATCGCGTTTATGGCTCTTGCATGAAGCAGACTCGGCGAGTCGCTCATCTGACTCGGCGAGTCTGGTCGCGAGTGTCCGAGATTGTCCCCTTTTAGCTGTGTCGAGTTGTGTAGTGAGTCCAGGGTGGATTCGGTGAGTTGGAAGCCAAAACTCACCCATAATGGAACTCGGCGAGTCGATGCCCAGACTCGGCGAGTTCAAGTTAATCTCCTTAGATCAAGATCAGACTCGGCGAGTTGTTCATACAGCTCGGCGAGTCGCAGCATAAGTGTTCATCGGATGAAGATGAACTCGCCGAGTTGTTCATACAACTCGGCGAGTAGGATGAAGGACTTGAACATCAGTTTGGATGGAGAACTCGTCGAGTCAACGCCTAACTTGATGAGTAGAAACAGAATCCAGGTCAGTCGTTTGGACATGGACTCGACGAGTTGGGGAGCCAACTCGGCGAGTCGGGTCAACTGGAAGTTGACTCTGACTTTGACTTAGGGCATGGTCAGGGGTAAAATGGTCATTTTACCCAAAGGACAGTTAGCAGTTTTTGACTAAGTGTTTGGTGGGAATTACAGCCAGAGTATTTCCGGAGCAGCAGCAGCAGCAGCAGACAGACTATTCCCACACAGATCAGCAGCTACTCTGAGGTGAGTTTTCCTTCCAGTAGGAACGGGTCTACGGCACTAAGGCCGACCCGTGTAGACGAGATGTTAGCACTAGAGTGTGGGCCGAGCCCGTATCTCTTGGGTTAGTTGATTATGAAATATGTGTCAGTATGATGGAGTTGTCTATACTTGTTGTCTGTGTGATACCTGTATGTTATGGGTTAGCGGTTAAGTGTGGGCAAGGCCCATATCTCTCCGAGAGTGGAGTGTGGGCTAGGCCCGTATCTCCCAAGTATTAGTGTGTGGGCGAGGCTCGTATCTTCCGGCTAGCGAAGTGTGGGCAGGGCCCGTATCTTCATGAGTGTGGGCGAGGCCCGTAACTCCTAGTTGAATGTTGTATGTTATATGCTTGCATGGTATGAGGTATTATGGGGGAGCTCACTAAGCTTTGTGCTTACGGTTTTCATTTTTGGTTTCAGGTACCTTTTCAGCTAAGGGAAAAGAGCCGGTGCGGTAGCAGCATATCACACATACGCTTTTGTTTTTCCGCACTATGGATTTTCTGGGATGTACTCTGAATTCTTATTATGATGTCACTGGTTTTCAGATATGGATTTATTGTCATGAATGTTTTGTAATGATGTTTTACGTTTTAACCTAAATTAAAAATGAAATTTTTAACCGGTAATTTTGGGGTGTTACAGTTCCTGATTTCAGATGACAATGAAGATAATTCTTCTTCATCCGATTCCGGCAGAGGAACCGACGATGGGCACGGGGTACTATTAAGGTCGATTGTATTCTGTGGTAAATGAGTGTTCGAGACCAAAAGGAAGATGACCTCATCAGAAAGCGTTAATCTCCTTCTTTTGTCTTGTTCTCCTTTAAAGTTAATTCCTATTTGATCCATCTGACTTTCTTGACCCAATTTATTTGGAAACGGCCCAAGACAACCGGACCGAGCTAAATTACCCGAGAGCCCAAAAGCCCTGATATCCATACCCCGTGTTTAGTTCAGCGTCTGCCAGTGCCTGGTTATCATTCAAAGAAACCTCAATTGCCGAGGCACCATTATTGTTAACCTCCACCCGTTGGGTTTCCCTAGGTGATCCGTTCCAACTTCCATTGTTAAGGTCGTTCCCTTCGACTACGACCGAAGGCGGTGTCACGGACGGGGCACGAGTATTACTGGTGGTACCCGTGCCCTGATTAATCACACCTACTAGCTTCGTTCATGACCTTCACCTTGATTCACAATCCACCAAGGTACTTAATTTCACATTCAGATCCATCAACATTCTTAACGGAATAGGGTGCCTTTTCGAGATGATCAAAGCTATGAAGGTCACCAAATAACGTATAGCTGCTTTTCACCCAGGAACGGAGAGGTGAGTCCTCCATTAATTTAATAAGGTCATTTTCTAGTATGGGAGGGGTTGATGGGGGAGGGGAGGGGCATATTTACCGGCCATGACCGACACATAAGATCTATTATCTCTTACCTTGAATCTTGTAGTCTGTTGGGGTCTGGATCGATTTTGATACGAGTTAGTGTATTGACCGCATGTTGCTTTAACAGGTCTCCTTTCAAATCTTGCAATATTGACCTCCATCGTATGATCTCTATATTTGACTCCTTGCAAGGACTTCTCTAGTTCTTGTTCGTCTCCTGTTTTCTTGAATCTAACAAATGCAAATGTTTTTCTATTTGCACCCATTTTCCTTGTCATATAAATGTCCACTACCGAGCCAAACTTTTCAAAGATTCTCTTTAGGATATCTTTTCTTGCCGCCGATGGAAAGTTTGACACTAACATTGTTGTAACTCCTGCATGTCTACATCCACTTTGATCCAGTGTTTTAAAAACCGGCCGGTTGAACCGGTCGAACCGGGAACCGGAGGTGAGGGCGGTTCGATTTGGGCCGGTTTTTTAATGATTTCCTGACCGGATTGAACCGACGGTTTTGGTAAAAAACCGGCTGAATTGAACCGGAATGGACCGGGTTGAACCGGACATTCTTGGATTTTTGTGTTTGCTTTGGTCTTCTTTGTTTGATTTTGATTTCTATAATGATTGTTTTTATATGTTGCATTCTATTTACGTTTGTAATACTAAAAAGATGACAAGTTTTTGTAATCAATATATGCAGGATAATTAAAAACATATAAAAATATAGAACTGGTTTAACCATCCGGTTGAACCGGAAAACGTCACTCGACCGGTTCAATTAAAAAACCGATTTTTAAAACATTGCTTTGATCTCCAATTCTTAGTATCTGCTTTCCCATTCTTCTTCTTGCATCCGTCCATCCACCTTCCATTTTTTTTCACGATAATATTTATTTTTTGAACATATTAAATGTTATCCATAGTATATTGGGTTAAGTGTTTATTTATGTAATGAGATTTTATCTTCTCTTTCTTCATTTGATTAACAAAGTACGTTTTAGACACAAATGTGTAGGGATTAGCTCCTCAAACATGCTATTACTTCTCATTTACGGATTTTCTAACATATGCATAAATCACATATAAAAAAAATAAACTATGAAAAATAATATCATAATTAGATGTGAAATGCATTAACCATGAGGAATATTTTCTATAATTAATACAATTATAATTTTCAATTATCAATACTTCTTATACTTAATGCATTGCACATTTAGTTATGATAATATTTTTCATATTTAATGTTTCTTATATATATCTTTATAATACGTACTAGAAAAACCCAATTAATTAGCACAATGTAAACCAAAGGGTTTCTAGCCCAGTGGTACCCGGTGTTGCTCTTCCTCCTTGAGGTTGAGAGTTAAAGTCTCGTTGTGGACATAGATGGATTTAATGTATAGTTTAGGAATATGTTAGATTTTCCGTTTAAAAAAAATAACACAATGTAAGATCGAAGACGGTGTATATTTTGGTAATAAATAACATTATTATATAAAGAAACATTTTACCTTCGAATCTTGATAATGGAAAATATATTGTTGTTATTACTTATATACTATGATTTTTTGGAACCTGATAAGTCAAAACTCAAACACGAATATACTTGTTTAAGTAGATAAAATGGCTTATACTTGTTTAAGTAGATAAAATGGCTTAGTCAAGTCGTTGCATGAAAACTCATTTGTTAGAATTGCATATTACCATCCTGACATATATTTTTTGATGGCCGATGATTCTTCCACACGAGGATTTTGATAAATTTACTGAAACTATAAGGCTATTGACAACTATACCCTTATTCAAATTTATAATGTATTTTCTTGTTTTGTGGATCCATTATTCGTGAGCCAATTCTGTCCAATTATACCGAAAGATATTCCATACACAGTTTATACCCCTTGTTTTTCTCTTTGGTGCTTATTTAAACCATCATATTTTTCCATTTTGACATTTCACCCCTCATTTTAATTCTTATTTTTTTTCTTCTTTAGTCATTTTTTTAAAAATTTTTTAAAGAGTTTATAAACATACTATGATAAAACTATTATACACTAAACTACTTAACAAGAAAAAAAACACAACATCAAACTCTTACATATCGAATTAAGTCACAATAAATGTTGTCTAACAAAAATATTCAAACTATAAACTCACTAGAAAATGTTAGATATATATTTAGATTAAGTAAGTTGCTCAGAAAATGTTAGATATATATTTAGATCAAGTAAGTTGCTCTCTAATTAATATTGTCAAATACGTCATTGTTAATTTGGAAAAACTAAAGTTTTAGGTTTTTATGATGATTCTACAATATCAAATCTTAAAGGGTCTCGCATGATAGAATTTTTTCAGCTTTCTTTTTTATTTTTAGAGGTCCATCTTGTGATCGACGAATTATGGTCCAAAGAATGTATTGAATTTAGTTAAATATTTAGTAATCATAGAAGTATAAGTTTGAAAGTGAGAATAAGGTTTATGAATTTTTAGATTATATTATATGTGTTCATTCATATTTATTAGCCACTATTTTACATGTGTTCATCCATATTTATTAGCCATTGTTATGACTATACACATTATTAATTTTAGCTATTGCATGTTATTTTGAGCTTTTAGTTTAGCCATTCTGTTTTTTATTATTAATAACTTGTTTTATTTTTTACAAGTTGATTGCATTCCATGAGACATAAACATTCTCACGTAGTTAGTTGTTCAAATGTTTGTTATTCAGACTTAACGGAAATTGAACCAATTAAATTGACTCGCTTAAAACCGAAAACGATTAAATAGAACGTGATTTCGTTTGGTTCAATTAATATATTGGAAGTCAAAAAAATCATTCAAATCAAATGGAACAAACTGATAATCGATAATATTAGACAAGAATATATATATATATATATATATATATATATATATATATATATATATATATTCTATAGGGTTTAAAGTGTAACATTGTGTATATATATATATATATATATATATATATATATATATATATATATATATATATATATATCCTATAATCGTGACTTTCATAATATACAAGAAAATACAATTACCAACTCTATTTTGGTATCAGAGCCAACCCTAAAACCACATTACGACAGCCACATCTCAGCTGATCCTCCTTCTTGTCGATATATAAACAATTCGACAACCTTCTCTCAACCTTTTCTTGTTTTCATTGTCAGACATAGAACCTATTACTATTTTCTCTTCAACTGAGATAACATCTCACAACCCACACAAGTTTGGCTTCACCTTGTCACATACAAACTACGGGTATTGGAAAACAATGATACAACCGTTCTTGATTACAAACGATTTATTTGACTACGTTGACGGCACAACCCTATGTCCTCAGGCCACCATCGTTTCAACCACTTCATCCATAAAAGATGGATCAGAAGTATTCGTTACTTCTCAAACCAATCCAAGAATATGCAGTTGGGTTAACAATGATGCCCATGTCCGAATGTTGATATTGTCTACGATCTTCGAAGCATCGTTCTAACATGTTCAGGGTACTACTTCACATGATCTTTGGTTGTCTCTTGAGCATGCTTATGCCCCTTATACCTCCTCACGAGAATACACACTAAAGACACAACTTTTAAAAATTGCAATGAAAGGTGATGAATCTTCCTCAGCCTATTTAATTCGTGCTCAAGAATATTCTAGTGCTTTAGCCAACATTGGTGAACCTATCAAAGAAAAAGACCTTGTTATGCTTGTTATTTATGGTCTGGGGGACAAATATAATGGCCTGAAATCAACGCTTCTCACACGATAATCTCCTACTACCTTCTCTAAACTTCATGGTCTCTTGGTTGATCTTGATTTTATGATAAAAAAGTACCCACTGGAGTCTCACCGGCTCAAGCTTTCTTGGATACTACAACCTCTCGTACATCTACCCAATCAGGAACAACTCTTCCCATTGATACCCTTCATGCAGTCTAACAACTTGCACAACAGGATTCCAACTTCAGCCACTCACCATTACACACCCTGCACATGCTAATTACACACAACGATCAGGAAACAGTCGCCAATTCAACAACAGGTCTGGTCGTGGGAGAGGTTTCTCTAACAATCGACAACATGGAGGAAGCACCAGATCTTAATTTACTTGGGCATCAAATCAAAATACAGTATACGGAACTTGCAACAGGTGCAATATTGGACACGTTCCATCCCAATGTCCAAATCATGACCCAGCTACCATAAGCCCCAGATCACAACCTTCTGCAATTCTTTTAGATTTTTGATCACAAACATCCGGTTCTTGGCTAGCAGACACGAGTTCTAGTCATCATGTTACTCCAGATCTTTCTAGCTTTGATCAATACGAAGCTTATCATGGTGACGATCACATCCACGTTGGCAACGATAATGGCTTACCCATTCTCCATATTGGTTCTTCAAAACATCATTCTCCCAATAATTCTTTCTCTCTTACAAACTTACTCCATGTTCCTAAAATTAAACAAAATCTTCTTTCTGTTCAAGAATTTTGTCAAGACAACAATGTCTATTTTGAATTTCACTCTTACTATTTTACTGTGAAGGACGAGAAAACTCACACTATCCTCCTCACGGGTCCAAGTAATGATTGTCTTTACTCCTTTCTACTTCCAAGGCTACAACTAGTCTCCACAGTTGCTTTCTCAAGTACCCGTGCCACTTCAACCACTTGGCATCAACGCCTGGGACATCCTCATTCTCAGTTGTTGAAGTAAATGCTTTCCAAATCTCATTTACCCTTACTAGATACTTTTAATTCTTCTAGTTGTGATTCTTGTTCCATAGGAAAGTCATCAAAACTTCACTTGTTACCTTCTACTTAAAAAGTTTGAATGTTTTGGATTTATTATTTTGTGATGTTTGGGGTCCTGCCCCTGTTACCTCATTCGATGGCCGCCGTTATTTCTTATTATCTGTTGATCATTTCTCTAAATTTATGTGGATCTTTCCCTTGAAGTCTAAACCTGATGTTTATAATACTTTTAACGCTTTTATGGTCAGTGTTGAACGACAATTTCAAACCCAAATCAAGTCCGTTCAGACCGACTGGGGGGGGGGGTGAGTTTCGTAATCTTTCTCAGTTCTCCTCAAAACTTGGCATAACTCATCGAATCTCATGCCCTCACACCAGTGAACAAAACGGTCTTGTCGAGCGACGTCACCGTCACGTTGTCGAAACCGGACTCACTTTGCTCACTCAGTCACATGTTCCACAACATTTTTGGCATTTTTCCTTTGATACAATTGTCTATCTCATTAACCGTATGTCATCTCGGACAAACTCTAACACTTCACCTTTTGAACATATCTTCAAACACACCCTTGAA